AAATTGGTAAGCTGAGGGGGGGTCATGCGATTTTTAAATGGTGCTTCCCAAATCCCACCAGCCCCCCCTCCCTCATAAAAAATGAACGGTCCCTAACCCCGGGAAAAGAGGAAACTATCTTCCCGAGAACACAAGCAAGTTCTCGTATGGTTGGAGAAGCGGTGTGTAGAAGCCAAGGCCTTTTCCTCAGTTAGCACGATCGTCATAGTGACCGAATTAAGTACAAAACTCAAGAGTACGAGCTGTTGGGACGGGTTAAGGACCGACTTCTCCGGGTGTGTTATGAGGCCAAGGGAATCAATCTGAATAAGTGTGTCTATATCGTTGTGTACACTGTCCTTGTACGTTTTCCCTTGCAAGTACAAGTCGTCAATATAACCACTAGATATATGGCCCCGTAAATGTAGGTGGGATAATGCTGGATTCAAATTTTTAGTGAATTTTCTAGGCCTACATGAAAGACCTTCTGGCAAGCATGTAAACTGATAAAGTTTCCCTTCCAAGAGAATTTTAAGTATTTCCTATCCGATGTGGCTATCGGTATGGAATAATATGTGTCTTTCAGATCAATGGACGCCATAAAGCAATCCTGTTCTACAAGTTTAGTGATGGTGTTGAGTGTGTCCATCTTAAAGTGGATTTTGTTTGCATATTGGTTGAGGTTTTTAAGGTTAAGAATCATTCTGTGGCTGCCATCTTTCTTCCCCCTTACGAATACATTGAAAATAATTTCTTCGTGACAATGCCCGGTGGGCTCAATCACATGTTTTGACAAGAGTTTTTGAACCTCGAGATCGATAATGGTCATTTCAGTGGCGGACCGTGTGCAAGTGGGAAGATATTTTTGACAGGGTGTGGCATTAAAATCAATTTTCATCCCCACAACAGTGGAAAGAATTTCATTATCTAATGTGATTTTACGCCAGGCAGGTAAAGAATGTGCGATGCATCCGGCCGCAAAGGTATCACAACGTTATTGTAGATACTCTCTAAGAGATGAATTAGTGATTCGCGGAAAATCACTTACCGCCAATTTCAGTTTTTCCAGTGAGGACATTATTTCTTCTCGGTCTCGTTCTTCGGGCCGTTGTACGGTTTTTTTCGCGCAGTTGAGCGGTAGCCTTTCCCCAAAAAAGGCTGTCGTGACCCGCCCTTGCTGCTTTCGTCATACCGGCTAGTTTGATAAGAGCCATGGCGCCGGTAGTTTTTGTTGTGGTCGTGCTTCGTAACGCCAACTGTATGGCCGATGCGGCTAGTCTCCTTAGCGTCGCGAATTTGCTTGGCAAGATCGTCACCAAACAATAGTTTTGATGAAGTGGGGACGTTGTGTGAACAAATAGTGTGATATTCTTGCTTTAACGATGGCCCAAGCTGTTTGCGCCTGAGCGAGGAAAGCTCGGAAACCACATGTCCCACTAAAGCGATAGCATCAATGCTATCGGTTAGCATTTCTTTTGTGTCAATGTGGGCTTTTGCCGCCAAAAGCTTATCGCAAGTTGTAACTATTGCGAAGGTAGCCTTTTGCAAAGCCTGCTGCATGTTGGCCAAGCGTAAATCTGACTTTTTCTTAGCGGCATTCAAAGGCGCCCAGATTTCGGGGTTTACCCATGCAATAGCCATGTCTCCGCAATTTTCGGGCTGCGGGTGTTTTCCCAGAATACTAGTTATTTTTTCTGAGGTAAGCTTATTTCCCCATCTCTTCATAGCGATGTCGACCAGTTGTTCTTGGACTTTTGGACCTTTTTTATCCTCGTCTTGCAGGGCGGCTACGAAATCTTTTAGTACCTCGTCCTCGCTCGTATTATAATTCGGTTTGTCGGTGACTTTGGCTTGAACCGATGGTTCTGCCAGCAGTTGTGCCACGTCATCATCTGTGGCATACACACTAAGTGAGTCGTCCTCTTTGCTCGATTTGTGTCTGGGCTCGTAGTTATCATTTTCAGAAGAGTCCTCTAAGGAGACAGAAATAGAACGCCGTTTTCGGCGTTGGCCGTCTGCACCCGGTGGGCTTCGGCTCGAGGATTTTTGCTCGTGGCGCGCATTAGTAGTGGGAAGACGTGCGCACACCTCCGACAAAAGTTTAGTCATTGTGCCCGTGTTCGTATTAATTTGGTGCAGGGCGGACTCAATGTTTTCTTCACGACCCGGTGGGTCAGCATTTGCGCCCGTTGGACCCTCAGGAGCAGGCACTATATCAACGTTTTCGCTCGTCATTGTGAAATGCTGAGTCTGGCAGGAAAAATGGTTAGGCAAAACGTGCAATCGAAAACGTTCAAAATTCTACTCACGTACGCCGATCCCTGCCAAATAGGTATCACAAGACCTGCTCAGAGTTACACCTTCAAAGTAGGCTAAAGTATATATCGGTTATTGTAGCAAAAAACTCAGTCTGTTCAGTGCAGAAAACACGCGTGTCGACTGAACCGATAGCAAACACTGCAATGACCAGATAAGCATGCGCATGCTTCTCATGTAACTCCGTAGTGACTCGGACTGATGACGAGGTAGAATTGCAGTTCATCTCTGTCGCAACTTCGCTTTTCTTGGTTAGAGAAAAATGGCCATGATGATGATGATGATGATGAATAATGTGCACTTGGTTTTGCCTACTGCATGTATTTGCCATAAATCAAATTGTCCAGTTGAAATGAATATCTGTGCTTTGAGACTGATAGGTATAGAACATGATCCAGCGGATTTTGTTTTCATATGGCTTTTCTTGTTGTAGAAATACTAAACCAAAGATGGATAATTAAATATGCATAAATTAGTGTCAAATGGCCATTTTTACTGGAGGTCCCTCTAACTTAAAGGGAATAAAATATTTTTAGCTACTTTTCCGCCGCATCATGATGCAGCGTGTTTATTCAAGGGCGGCGTTTGCTAATATTTCTGCTTTAAAATGCAGCGTTTATTCGAGGGCGGCGTTTAATCAAGTGAATACGGTATCCCTGTAGTTGTGTAGTTCTAACTGAAGAACTTCATGTAGGGAGTTGTAATAAAGTATGTATGTATATGTTTTAATTAAGCAATAGACCACTCTTCCTGTGGGTTTACTGGCCGGCGCAATAAACAACGCTGGATGTTGGGAGAACATGAGAAAAGCTTGTAAATCACTCGCCTAACGGCTCGTGATTTACAAGCTTTTCGAGTGAAATAAGTATGGAAAAAGTCTGTCAATGAGAGAAATATTTATTGTACTTTCGTGATAAAGTTGCTTTTTCGCATCAAATTCATGAGATGACGCGACAAACCAATCAAAGCGACTGAAAGAATGAAAACACAGACTCCCCGCCGGAGACGAAGTCCGCAGAGCAAAGCGACAAAAACATTTCACGCTAAGAAAGTTTTAAGAAAGGTAAGGAAAAGGTTACTGGTGAAAGGCAAAAAGCATATTAATTTACTCGAAAGTATTCTGACGGGAAATTGCAGGGATTCGTAAGTGGAATCGGTCATCACGAAAGTAAAAGGCTGTACGAAAAGTGTGCAAGTAGTCCAAACTTCATGTGCTTGTCGAAGCGATTCAACGCAGTGTTTAACGATAACTTTCCAAAGTTTTGCGAATGGAATAAAGGTTAGTAACAGAAATGTTGCTTCCCAAATTTATTCAGAATTTATTTACTTATGCTGAAGACTATGAAGGCCGTGTTTCTCTCTCTATTTTGCTAAATGAAAGCTATTGCCTGAAGGCTAAGCTTATGGAATCAAATTCATTTATCGCGTAATGCATGCATGCACTGAGTTCAAACTCAAAATTTCTGATAGAAAGAGATCTTTTCCCTGCTTTTTTGACAACCCAAATTGGTCAGTCAAGCCCAGCTGACTTCGTCCTCCACAGACCGTGGAAAGCAGCGAAATAAGTGTATAAAACGTCCTTAATCTTAATCTTAATCTCAAGCGTAAACGGAGTCGGCGTAAAAGTTTTGCCGTGGAAAAAAATAAAAAGCTTTATATGACTACCAACTTCTCGTCCTGTTTTTCCTTGCAAACTTGAATTTCCATGTCTATGTTGGATGAAAAGATATTCCAGATATTCGTGTTATCGATATCTCAGCCAGTGAAAGGCAAAACTATACGTACATACATACATACTTTATTTGTCCAAAAAGGACTGTTTATCACATTTGTTATCGCTAGGGTTCCGAGTTCTCTAGTTCCCGCCTAGAGCTGCCATAGATCGGGAACCGTGGTTTACCGGTGCAATAGAACATAGGATTAGCAACTCTATTGACCAATCAGAGCGTGCGTAGTATCTCAGTTATTTTATAAAGCGAAATATTTTCACCTTTTCACTTTCCGCCAGCTGTCTACCCGTTCGTTCGGCATCAACGGCGATTATTTGTAGCTCCTCTTTGAGGTCTTCTATTTAACAAATAGATTCCATGTTGCTATGCATCTGTTCAGTAATAGATCACAGATGACGTCAAAATGCGGTAAGAACATCAGTGACACACTCGGCTATCGCCTCGTGTGCCACTGTTTTGTTCTTACCACATTTTGACGTCTTCTGTGATCTGTTACTGAACAGACGCTCGGCAACATGGAATCTATTTCTTTAATATAATAAAGGAACAAAGTTTTGCAGAGAAAGCTTTTTTATTTCAAAATCTTTCAACATAATCTATTGTCTATACGAAATGAAATCGCTTCTCGTGGAATGAAAACTTACAGCGAAAGCAGAAGTGAAATGCGAAATCTACAAATCTTAAATAAAATGCTGGAAAAGTCAAGTCAGTTTTTGTCATCAGGGCAGCCCTGTGAGCCGAAAAGCTCGGATGTTGCCTTGAGTATTGCAGGAGTTGAAAAAAATACGCTCAGAAACCTTGCGATTGCGGTCAACACTGGAGGCCAATCGATTCGAGTTTTGAATGAAAGGAGCGTTAGAGACGGTGAAAATTTGTGTCCTCTGTGGTTGGTGATTCTCAAATCAGTTTGATATAGTGTCTGAGACATCCTAAAGCGGCGATAAAGTTGGCCGTGAGACGGTAGTGAGCTATACTTTGCTCGCTACTGTGCCCTGAAACGGACTGGAACATTCGCTTCGGAAAGCAAGGTTATGTATTTATTTTAACTTATTTTAAGAAGTGATGTTTTGATGTTTTATTCGTGACACCAATCTCTGTCAATAATTATTTTGAGAGGATAATTTTTTAAATAAATTAACGTCATAAACGTTTTGTTTATTGGGTTTGTTAAATTCGAGACAAAGCAATGATTTCGTCATCATCATTGCCTGTAGCCCCGTCTGGGGCAAAGGCTACCAATAAGCACCCCCTAGTCATTACGGTCCTGGGCCAGTCGTTGCAGTTCTCCCCATGCCACGTGTAGCCATTTCTCCTCATGTCTGATTTCTTACCTTAAAGTAATTTCAAGACCGATTTTGCGTTTGGCTTTAGTCTCGCTCGACTGCCGACTGAGACTGCTCGAGTATTTTTTCTGAGTCATTTGCTAAAAAGGAAACGGCTTTTTCTTTCTTCTTCCGGCTTCTCGTACCTGTTCAACGCCTCGACAAGACTTTTTTGTACCATATCTTTCGCCTAGTCACTTAAAATATTATTTTAATTCTCAAAACTTTCCGCCATTTTAAAACACAGAGGGAAAAACTCTGAAATGGTGACATCAATCGTGCATCTGTTCTCTAATAGATCATAGGCGAGAACCAATCAAAATGCGAGAATAATTTGGGTTATTATATAAATGTTTTTCTTTTCCTCAAGTTGTGCCCCCACTGCGGTTAATTTTTCTCCAAGTTCTTTCAGTTTAAGTGTAAAAGAGGTAACCTGGAAAAAATATATGCACATCAGATACGTTTATTGCTTGTTTTAAAAATTTGTCAGAGCAAAAGTTATCTCATCCTAAAAGATGTTTTACACATAGAGAATAAGCAAAGAAAAAAGGATGGCATGTTGTTGTTGTTGTTTTTTTTCATGTTTTATTGTTTTTAGACACAAGGGAACTGAACTGAGAGAGAGTTGTTCCTCGCAAATTTAGTATGCAGTGATGCATGAAACGACAACTGAAACCATAGTGGATATTCAATTCATTAACCTTAAATTCTCATTCTCGGATAACGCATTGCTAGCTTTCTGATTGGTTCGCTGAATCTCCGTTACCAGACATAATACCTACATGTACTTCGATCATTGTCCAGTATATCAGTGGAAAATGAGTGCGACAAGTGTCGCTTGGTTAAAGTTTATCGTCGGTAATGGAAAGTTCTGCTGGGAAAAAATGGCTGAAAACAGCATATTTAGTAAGTTTTCTATCCCAAAGATACAGGGAATAATAGGCAATGCCAGGCCGGAAACTTCGAAAAACCACAAATGTCACAATTAACTAAGCCGCCATTTGAATTTGATAGAAAAATTTAATCGAAAAGCTTGCAAAAGTACAAAATAAACAGAGGAAAGAAGCAGCAAAAATGTCACATTGTAGATTCAAAAACCGACACAAAATTGTTCAGTTATATTTGTGAAAACAGATTTTCGGCATAAAATTATAGCTTAGCACCAGCTTCAGTAAAGTTTGTTACCTTACATTTAGCTACTGTCCTTTTGTACTTCGGTGAACTCGATCGATTCTGAATAACACAATTTGTCGTCTTAATTATGACAACCACGTCAAAAAAATAAGCTAACTTTATTTGACTCGAACAAAACGTATTATTTTCCGCACAGCCACTACTTCGGATCTTCTCTTAAATCTTTTGTCGTTTGTTACAATTTTTCCAGCATGTAGACAAATTTGGAGGTAATTTGTAGAATTTTACGGAAGAAAACTCTGTCTCGATTGCTTTCCTGCATACCGTAAATCCTCGAATGAGCGCCCGGGGAGCTTATTTAATTCAAATTTAGGAGAAGATAGGGGGCGCTTATTCGAGGGGGGCGCTTATTTAATTTTCCTAGATGGTGGCCTGACATGATCATTTTTTTAAACACGTATCTGCGCGTAAACAACAACGTAAGCTGTTTATCGACATAAAAAGCTGATCCTAAAGATTAAATCGCGGCACCGTTAGTCCTTAAAGTGTTCAACGTGCTCACTTAACGTGTTCACAACTGAAACAATGCACAAATCTAATACTACACGACGAAAACTATGCACTTTTTGCTGTCCCAATACTCGTCCACAAAATGGGGGGAGGCGACTGGGGCGCTTATTTTAAATTTTGGCCGATAGGAGGGGCGCTTATTCGGGGGCGGGGGGGCGCTAATTCGAGGATTTACGGCTACTTCATTCAACACAGAAAGGGAACAACGCGCGACAAATTTGCCCGCCTTTTCATACCATCGCTGCCTTTATATCTAACTCAAATGTCTCCATTATCCAGTCGATTAAATAATTTACTAAAAAAATTATTCAGTTTGCCCCTGTTGGATATAAGATGTTCATAGCAAACGAGGCGCGACAGCAGTGGATAAAAATAAGTGACACGAGGCTGCCCAAAGGGCCTTTCAGTGATTTCTTTTTATCTCCCTGTTATGAGCATCTTAGCAAACATCAGTGATGGCTACTCTATAAACCTTTAAAGTTGAGGTATATGTTTAAATTGAAATACAAATTGGAACTTCCAGAGACAGCTTTGAGAGAAAGGTACATGTGATGCACTCATTACAAAGCGCCGGGGTATTTGAGGAAAAAAAAAACGAATTTGTAAAGAAGGTTTAAAACGACCTAAGAGATGATGAAACTTAAGAAAGTTAAACCCCATATAGTTCTTATCCCTTAGACCCCTAAGGTAATCCCTCTTAAGGTATTTTTAGATTACACGAGGATTCATAAATCTTAGGAGGGTCTCTTAAAAAGCAAAACCAGTGACACTGATTTTATTTACGTGGACAGCCCAATCGGCCTTAAAATAAGCCCAGGTCAGACGTGCTCGTAAGTAGACGCAAGTTGAAAACTTGGGTCTACTTGCGACTCCGTTTGGTCAGGCCTTACGTGCACTTGCATTGAATTGCGATGACTTGCGCTCACTTTGGTCGAGACCACCCAGCTCACTATTTTCTCAATAATAAGTCTTTGATCCGCTCTCAAATCGACCACAGGAAACAAAGACAAGCTTTATTTCAGGACCTGTTTGAAGTCTTCCTCGAATTTACGCCCAACACTATATTGTTGCCCAAAAGCAAGAAGGTGCGCGCACTGCAGCTGGCCGACCTTCGAAAAGTTCGCCGTAAAAAATGATCGACGAGTATTGCTTCCTTGCGCCCATGTTACAGCTTACGATTTCCTCGGCTTCGTTGGATATTTTTTTTCTGAAACTCTCCCCGAGAATCTTCCCGTTGCGCGGGCCAAGGAACTACCTCGATCGATGAGAAAAACCACTTCGTGCAAGAAGGCGACAGAGTCGTCTTGCTAGATCTCCCTGCTGATTGGTCAGAAAAATATGTTTTGGCCAATCAGCGGGAAGGATTTCGAACGCTTCTGGAACTGGCTGTGTATGAGTAAGTTCTCCCGCTCTTGAAGTAAACTTTCGCTCAAAACTATCGGGTCGCCCGAAAATATCGCATCGTCCCGAGTTGCTGCCCCTGGGTCTCCGAGGATGCAATAAAACATGGGTTCAAATTTTACCTTTCTTCCAATTAAATGTAGGCTTCCTCACCTGTTTCCTCTTGGCTTCATATCTTTTACGTTCAGCAGCAAGCTATCCATAAAATTATGTGTTCATGTCTTGGATTTTCTCTTTAAAGCATTTGGTCATTAATTGTAATTTACAATCTACTTCATCTATTCTTCGTTCTTGCTCTTCAAGTTGTGCCTTCAAGGATTGCTTGACGTATTCTGAGTGGTCCTTCGCCTCAGTTGAGTTGGGACTCAACTGCATTGCCTGCAGCTATAAACATGCACAAGTAGTTACATAAATTTTATTTAGGGTCGAATTTACAGTGTACCATGCATTACTTTAAAAACAAAACGACTGCTTTTATCTTTCAGACATGTTTCCACGCTTTATCCGTCATAATCAGCGTAACGGTTGAGATAACAAGTGTTCCGGTGTCACGCAGTTTTGCGATGCACAAAATCTCAAAGTTGTAGCGGTAAACCAGATTTCCCGTGCACCTGACCACAAACTATCGGTAAAGGTGTTTACAAAGAAAGAGTCAAATGAACTGATGTGTTTGACTTTTTGATTCAGTTCAGACTTCCCATTTTATGAACATAGATTCCTTAAGCTTTACTTGAAGCTTAGTAGCCACAGGGTCTAAAACTTTGAAACAATCTGTTGAGCGAGAGATACGACAAGATTCTGAACCCTTTAAATTTTGTAAAACTTGAGAAGATCTGTCCAACGATAAGTGCTCGTGGACACGCGAAGAGAAATGTCGGCTTATTTCACCGATGTAACAAGCATTACTGAACTTGCACGGGAAAATTTATACATGGTATACATATGGAGCCTAACAAGCAGAGGATCTTTCACGTTAAACAATTCCGTTCCTAATTTTAAAGTTAGAGAATACAAGCTTGATGTTCATAGGTTTGCAAACTGATCAGTTGACAAGTTTGCGCACCCTATGCTTTGTACTATAGAACCGGCCAACGTAAGGGATCTTACGTTAGCCATTGATTCTGGTGGCTCCCCCCTACTGCGGTTCATGTGCCGTCTCCCTCTACCGTCTTGGAAATATAGCGGCGGATTGAGCCATTCAAGACGTGCTCGGGATAGAGATTCTTGCGTGAAATTACAAACAACTTCTGAATATTATTGTTGTTAATGTGTTGATAATCTTAAAAATCCCGTCGGTAGGGGTTTTGACTAACCCTATATTGATTCTGTAATGAAAATGAGCAAAGCTCAAAAATTGTAAGCATTTCTGCTAATCTCTACGAGCTAAGTGTTACAAATGAAAATAACGCAAAAAAAAAAAAAAAATTAGAACAAAGCAGACTAATTTATGCAACATTTCAGGATGAAATGTGTGTTCCTGGATTTGGCCGCCTGGTAACTAAAGGAATTAAGGCCATAAGTAGTTGTATTTTAAGCAGGGTGAAAATGTCAGCTTTCTCAGATTCGTTGTTGAGTGCAGGTAAGACAGTAACTGATCGATAATTTATTTTCCTCAATTCATCATTTTTGATAAAAAAAAAAGGTGTTACCTTTCCCCTTTTCCAGCGAGAGGGATATATTGGTTGTCTACTGGATCCAGTCATTTTTACTGATAGGGGATCAGATATCGCTGGTGCACAGTTTTTGGGAAGCTGAGGAGTTGTTTCCTGTTCACGGGAAAGAGAAGCAACACCAAAGTTTATTCCCTGTAGTGACCTTCAAAATTCGCCAAACTTCAAAACAAAACTCATATCAGCCTCTAAAGTATTTGAGAGACGCAGAACAATTAAGGAGAATTGAGAAAATAATACCACGTTTCCCTCGGTCTCCAATTTTTAATGCTTGGTCATACTTCTTGAATGAATTTGAAAAAAAGAAAATTCGAGATAAACATGCAAATTCTAACACATATAGCAAAGGCAACGGTGTCGTCACCTATTGTTGTGAATGTGACACCTCAGCGAGGTATTGGGTGTCAATATTAAGAGTCTTGTTTTTCTGATAAGTCTAACAAATTGACGTCAGTTTTTTATGCGTCTGTCCTCTTATTGATGATAAATTGCGTCATAACATTGTCAAGGTGGCTATGTAAACTTTGACAACGTTTTGACGAAATTTATCCTCAATAAGAAGACAGATGCATAAAAAACTGACGTCAATTTGTTTTTTACAATAACAAGACCCCAAAATAGTCAAATGCCGGGAATAAATGAGGGTAAAAGACGCCGAAAACTTGCCGTAAACAAAGATAAGTGAATTTTATTCAAAATGACGCGAACATTGTCAATAGCTTTTATCGCTTTTTGATTGGC